GCAGTAATTGGTGATAACAACTTGACAAGTCGCTTCATAAACTAGATTAGTTAATATTTTTCAATGATTAAACTACATCTCATTACTTGGCATTAAATCACATGCAAGGGAAAATAATGCAGGCTATTAATTGGAAACAAATGTCAGCACCTTTCACACTTTTCCTACTAATGATAGGTTAAGCAACACCTAAAAGTTAATCCTGTTTAAACCCGTGCGGCTCGTCATGTAGATTACACTGATATCGAATGAACACTGATATCGAATGAACTGACCGCGTAGCTCAGTTGGCAGAGCATTGGGCTAGTATTTCAAAGGTCGTAGGTTCGAATCCCACCGTGGCCAGGCATATTTCTCAAGCCTGCCCGGTGTGGATATACACTCGGAGTAATATCACACAAGCATCTTATTCACCTGAGTACATTACACCAACACAGCAAATAACTTAGAAACTGTTTTTACCATAATATGCTTGGTTTTTTAACCTAATTTAAATCAACCTCGTTCCCAGGGCTTCAGTGTGAGGACGAGGTGAGTGACGAGGAAGCCCTGGTCTGGGCGGTCACGTGTGTACCAAAAAATGGCAGTATTTGACAGCTGCTCGTCAAGGAGTGGCGAGATATTCTTTAATGAAATGTACAAGTCTTCGAAACAAATAAATAGCCAGAAGACTTCTCAATCGATATTATATATGTCTAGAGCGAAGTTTGGCACGAATCAGCTGAAATCTCCGAAGACCCCGTCTATGTTTTCTAAGATATACCGATATTTCTGCAGATTTTCAACCACAGGCAAAGCTGCATCCAAGCTGCATCTAGGCGTCTCCATGCAAGTGGTGATTGACACGAACTTTCCTTTCTCTCGTCTTGAACAATATGGCTATTGCTATAATTAATATTTAGTTTAAATATGCTCTTATAGATCTGACTTAGTTCAATATAAATAAATACAAATATAAAACCTTGCGTAACCTGTTTACGCTGCACAGGAATATAAGGATTCGCTTGTTTCGCCGGACACCAAAGCTTGCCATTCAGGAGCAGTGCTTGCCTACAAATGTTATCCCCTTCACAATCTTTGTTTTATTTTATCGTATAGTTGCAATTTTCAAGTATTCGGGGTATTCCGAAACTGTAAAACTCGGTGGCGTGACGAATCTTGTAGAGACTACATCGGCCTAGGCGTAGAGCTGTTAAGTGAACAGGGCCTAAATTAATTTAGTAGTTTCATTTAATTGTTTGTCTTGCTTTTATTTGTCAGTACAGAATATTGTAAATTAAAATATTACTACAATGCAATACGCGTAGTATTTCATCAGACATCTGCACTACATTATAAATACTGTACAACGAAAACTATATTACGATGGCCGAGGAGGGCCACTTCTGATTCTGACTTCCGACTTCTGACTTCTGAGTTCCGACTTCTGACTTCTGAGTTCCGACTTCTGACTTCTGAGTTCCGACTTCTGACTTCCGACTTCTGACTTCTGACTTCCGACTTCTGACTTCTGAGTTCCGACTTCTGACTTCTTCTCCCTTTGCAGCTAAACACGGCAAATCCAAACCGATTGCTTCGATTCTGCATTAATTTTGCTGATAACGTCTAAATATACCATAATTTTCTTATCCAGAATTTCCGAATTCATTATTTTATTTCATTTTTTCAATTTTATGTTGCCGTGTTTCCAACAGTATTTTCATTTTTTGTTAGCAATACTTATTTTTGATATCCTTATTATTGATAATTTAGTATGAAAAAGACTATGTTCAACGAGATATTCTCTACACCATTGCGATTTCACTGTCTCAACGGTTTAAATTTAGCTGTAGGGAACAATTAAATTGGATAATTATAACTAAAATTTAACATTTACATAACTTATTTCTAAAATTTAGCTCAAGAACTTTCCAAAAGTTCCGAATTCCGACAGGCTGACTTCTATACGATGGCCGAGGAGGGCCACATGGCCGAGAAGCCCCACTTCTGACTTCCGAGTTCCGACTTCTGACTTCCGAGTTCCGACTTCTGAGTTCCGACTTCTGACTTCCGACTTCTGACTTCTGACTTCTGACTTCCGACTTCTGACTTCTGACTTCCGACTTCTGACTTCTGACTTCCGACTTCTGAGTTCGGACTTCTTTTACTCCATTATTTTGAACTCATATAACTCGAACTCGTTGCTTTTTCGAACTAATTATTTTTTCCTTTGAGGCTTGACTCATGAAATTTAGCCAACTAACTTAAGTTTGAAATGGCGGTGTAACCGGGGTTCTACTGTGGTGGATAATGAAAATTTTGTCAATTGACAATATCAATTTGATTAATTTTATCGCCAAGGATTAATTTTATCGCCAAAGGTTAATTTTATCGCCAAAATAGATAAATTTCTTATCCATATGATTATATTGGTGATTGTTTTTTCTGGATGGTATTTTGGAAAGTTCTTGAGCTAAGTTTTGGAAATAA